GTCAAGGGCATGTACCTTGGTTGCGGGCACATCCCCGGTAGGAGGTGTGCAGGAGGCAGCTGATCGATGTTTCTCTCTCATCGATGTTTCTAACTCTCTGTCTCTCTCCCTTCCTCTCTGTAAAAAATCAAAAAAATATATTTTTTAAAAAAAATCTTGAGCAAAAAGAGATAATTTGTTTTCGAATGAAATAACTTCTTCTAACATCGAAAATGTGTTTCCTTTTCCCGTGTAGTTTATGATTAAGCTGATTTAGAGGAGACTTAATGTCTACCATGAAATAAAATTTTTGGATCCACTGATCTCAGGCCGAAAACCTACTTCTGCACATGCGCCACGAAGTTTCAATCGCACTGTACGTGCACGCCCGCACGTGGTATTTTGTGGAAGAGCCACACTCAAGGGGCCAAAGAGCCGCATGTGGCTCGAGAGCCGAGGTTTGCCGACCACTGGCCTAAACTTTGGATGTTGTTTGCCCCAACAAATAACCTATCTGGTGATGTCATCAAGTGGCCAGATAAAGTCTGTATGGTTTACACAGTCACTAAGATTATTTAAATTTGACTGTAATTTGTTATTGTAAATCTCAGAAGAAAAGTTTTAGTTCTCAATGATTCCCAGTCAAAGTATTGGAGAAAAATGAAACATTAATTTGGAGGATTGTAACCAAATATTTAAGAAAACTAGAAAAAGTCAGGATTCAGTTTAGTTGATAGGTAAGAAACAATATCCACAACTGTGTATTGTGGATTCTATTGAAGCACAATATTCCTCTAAAATCACCCTCAGTTTTATCAAAGAGCCAAATTAAGACCACTTTATCTACTTCATTAAGTCTAGTTTTAATTTGGCCTAATTATTTGGATAAACACAACAAGAATAGTAATTGATCATAGGCTCTTTTAAAACTGCTTTGCTGGAAAAGGACTTGTACACATGCATATTAGCATAACCAATGGACACAGACACTGGGGTGGTGGGGGCTCACCCGGGGTGGGAATAGCGGGGGGTGTCTGTTGAGGAAAAAAGAGACATATGTAAAACTTCAGACAATAAGAAATATTAAAAAACAACTGCTTTGCTGGAATCAATCTCAATCAGATTGAGCTTTAATTAACTTCTAAGGGAACAGAAGTCAAGGCACACAGTTCCCATCAGAGTTTGCCTGTAATACCTATAGGTTTGGGTGAATTCCTCAAGTTCTCCTCCTCCCTCCTCCCCTAAATGTCTGTAGGTTCTTTGCCTCACAGAAGCAAGCTTTGTTTCTTACCTGGAAAGACTGCCATGAACCATATGAATAAGCAAGGTACCAAGCAGTGTTTCTACGGGACTTTAACTAGCTTCCAAAGGGAATCTTAATTTCTTAGAGCTTTCTGGTGACATCCAGAGTCTGGGCATGTCTCTGTCAGTCATGACATTTCAATTAAAGTCTTAGTTAATAAAACCAATTTCCAATTGTGTCCTATTATAAAGAGATCAGATTCTTGTTGGATTCATACAAACAAACATATTGCCATGGAAATAATAGTGCTCACTAACAGTTTCCAAATTCTGGAGGGGTCAAGTAGGGATAAAAATATAAATGCTATAATATTGATTACAAAGGTATACTTTATTAAATTGCTTTAGAAAAAAGTTTTCTTATATTTGGAAAGCAAAAGGAAAATCCTTGTCTTTTAACAAAGTTATAAATAACTAGAATCTAATTCTGTATTAGCTTACTTTTGATATTTAAATTAATTAAATTGACTATTCAGCCTAATTGTATAACTTCTGTTATAGATATCTCTTACAGATACCAGAGAGGTATTGTCAGACAGCTTCCTGAGTCTTAAGGAGATGGCTGTCCTTTCCTTCTTTCTTACCTTCTCGTATGAATGAATTCAAATAAGTGACCACAGATGATTGTGTTGTGATAAAGCCAGTTTACTAAAAAATTAAAGCAAGCAAATTTATTAAAGAAGCAAAATAAGCAAATGTAATAAGCTATATCTGAGCTGGGGCTCAGATGGGCTTTCCCAACTAGATTGGAAAAATGAGTCTGATGGGGAGTCAGGGGGTTATAAATCCTTCTGTCTAAAGGTTTCAAAATTTCTTGCCAAATATTTTGGTACACATTAATGTTCAAGATCCCCTTTTTATTTTGTTATGGCCTTCCTAGAATTCATGAGAAGCACCTGGCAATTTTATCTTGTCAAGCCCCAAGACTGCTGGCTTCTTTGTTTAGGGAGAGAAATAAAACTGCCTGTAAGGACAGAAAAGGGCCTCTCCTTTTCTTTGCTATGGTCTTCCATAATTTATGAGATGCACCTGGTAATTAAACAAATTAAACACAGAGATTGTTGGCTCCCTTGATTCAAGCTGCCCTTCTAACAACAATGAAATAAGACTATACTCCCAAGGTTGCATTCTTCTATCCCGCTCCTCCCTGCTGTTTTAACAGGAGTAATTTGAACCAAGAAGTCTCTAGTTAGTAGAAAGTTCTCTCCTATTTAGACAAGCATCTTTTGAGCTCCTCATAACTTTTGTTCTAAGTTTGTTTTATAGGCTGGGAAAAATAATAAGATACCTACCAGGACATTTGTTGGACTGTTTCCTGGAAAGCCAACAAACTAACTTTTCAAGAAAAATCTCAGGATTTGGTCAACTTCAACAGTCTCCCTTCCTCCCTTGTCACCTAGCATCAGCAACTGCTAGCTCTTTAAAAGTTCATGTCACTCTTTCTTCCAT